TCAACAACACGTGCAAATAATAAAACTGTTTTAGCCAAATGCGTGTTCTGTTCGGTCAACATTCCGCGCACTTCGCCCATTTCACGTCCTACCGAGAGAACTATTCGCAATGTGGTGGATAAATTTGAGTCCACTGGTTCAGTAATCGATCGATCAACAACCGTACGTCGACGAAACGCAAGATCTGCCAAAAACATCGTCGCTATCTGTGAGAGTGGACAGAAGAATCCGAGACAGTCGATTTCGCGTCGAATACGGGAAGTCGGCCTCTCGCAGACCACAACTTAGCGAATTTTGCATCTTGACTTGGGCCTGCACCCGTACAAAATTCAACTGACCCAGGAATTGAAAGTTAACGACCCGAAGCAACGACATGTGTTCGCGGAATAGGCTCTGGAGCAAATGGCAACTGATCCTAATTTTCATCGAAAAATCAATCTTCAGCAGTGAGGCCGATTTCTGGATGAATGTGTATGTTAACAAAGAAAATTGTTGAATTTGGGATGATACTAATCCACATGAAAAAGTCACTGTTTGGTGTGGATTTTGGGTTGGTGGCGTCATCGGTCCATATTTCTTTGAGAACGACGTTGGCGAATGGCGAACACTATAGGTCGATGATTACAAACTTCTTTTGGTCTGAATTGGATGATCTGAACACCAACGGCATGTGGTTTCATCAGGACGGCGCTACGTGCCACACAGCTCATGGAAAAACAGAAAACAAAAAAATTTGGTTATATATCACCAAAGTTCCAGATAACACAACACAGGATAATAAGTAATAATAATAACTGCAAAATAAGTTGAAATCACAAGATGTGAGTGTAAGAAAACTACAGTTTACGAATCCCCCTCCTGACATCAATCATTTATGATTGGCGTCAGCCCAGAACATTAAAAATAGTGTATGCTCCCAATTTTTGGCCAAAAAAGATTGCTTTTGAAAGATTTGACTTCAGAAAAGGCAAGAGATTCCTGAATGATCACACTAATTTAGAAGAAGCTGGTGCATCCCAACCAGTGAGTTTTTTAGGATAAACGATTCCACAGAAAATATTCAGGAAGACTTTTCATTTGAACATTCAGTGTCTCACTAATATAGTTGATCAGTTGCGATTATATCTTGACAATAAGCATAATGATATTATTTGCTTGACTGAACATTGGCTGAATATAGACTGCTTGAATATTTAAAACATTCTCAGTTTGAGCCTTATATCATGCTATTGCAGAAAAACTATGCAACACGGTGTGCTGCAATATTTAAAATATGTAAATGTATGTAAATGGCAAAATAACTTGTTTGAAGGTGGTTGACAATGTTTCGTGGTGCATTTCATCAGTTCGGACTTCCACTGTCTATTATGATATAAATTGATTTGAAATCCCTAAACGAATCTATAAAAAATTAAAAAGATTAGCTGAAAAATAACAATTCTGTTAAGCAAAAAACTTTAGTACAATGAAATAACATACAAACAACAACCAAAAACAAATTGAACTATTAACACGAGCTGAAAAAATAAAAAATTATTAACAGTGATAACACCCAAAGACGATTGTGGATATTAATAATCGAAACGTCGTGAAGTAACTTGGTTTGGATCTTTTAATTTTATATTTTATAATTTTCGTTTCTTGTTAATAATTTTTTTAATCGTGTTAATAGTTCATTTTTTTGGTTGTTGCTTGTATATTATTTTATTGTAATTTCAGTTTTTTGCTTAACAAAATTGTTATTTTTCAGCTAATCTTTATAATTTTTAACAGATTCTTTCAGGGATTTCAAATTAATTTATATTATATTAGACAATGAAAGTCCAAACTGATGAAATGCAAAAAAACTTGTAAACCACTCCTTTTAAAATCGTTTTGTGTTGAACAACATGCAGAATTTGTTTGAAGGTGGTTGACAATGTTTCGTGGTTTATTTCATCAGTTCGGACTTCCATTGTTTAATGTAATATAAAATAAATTGAAATAAAATTGTTATTTTCGGTTAATCTTTTATTTTTTTCAGGGATTTCAAATCAATTTATTTTATATTACATTAAACAATGGAAGTCAGAACTGATGGAACATGTAAAATTTGGTGGAATCGTGTTAATTTAACTACTTATAGGTCCTCTTTGTCCCAAAATTAAGATTTATTTTTCAATAAAGTTGAAGAAATTATCACAAAAATTTCAGATCGATACAAAAGGGTAATCGTTGTTGGATATTTCAATATTGACATAAATAAAATGAATTATATTTCTAGATTTTGGCTAAATATTTTAGATTCTATTGGTCTAAAACCCAAGACCACTACTCCCATTAGAATAGGTCCCACATATTCTAGTTGCATTGACAATATTATAACTAATCTCCATGACTCTGTGTGTGTTGTAGGTCTTTGCGATCCCTGTATTTCAGATCATATAGGGCAATACATATATATTCCCAAACAACAAATGTGTAACGTCGAGATTGAATGGTACCGACAAATAAACCAAGCGGGTTTAGATGGTATGAAACAAGCTCTTCAACTTATTAACTGGCATATTTTCTATGATGACAAAAATACATTAGAAGTATTAGCAGAAACCCTCAATAATACTTATAGTAACCTTGTTTCCAAATTTTTCCCTTTGAAGAAATCTAAAAATAAATATGCCAAAAGATCAATAAACTTTTTCATTGATGATTTGCGCCAAATGACAAATACATTGAAAACACTTCAGTCAGCATCTCTTCAAAAAATCCTGAAGATAAAGCTATTTTCGTAGAATACAAACGAAGATACCAAAGTGAAATAAATTTGACCGAAAGAAACTCCTACGACCATTTTATTCAAATGTCAAAAGTCAAAGATACGTGGAGACTGATCAATTTTGAACAAAACTCTTTAAATATGGTCAATAAAAGTACTACTACTATCAATCGAAATGAATTCAATATATTTTTTTCAAATATAGCCGAAAATATAATTAAATCTCTTCCAGCATGTAATACCAGTACGTTAGACTATTTAAGTAGTTTTTCCAAACCGTTTGATCCTTTTTTCATGCTTCTTGCGCTTCATGGAGATGTAGTGGACGCAATCCATAAACTTAAAAACACAAATTGTTATGACATTTATCATTTAAACAGTCGAATCCTCAAAGAAACTATGAACGTTCTTGTAAAACCTCTAACAGTTCTCATAAATCGCTGTTTCAGTGAAGGACATTTTCCGGATGTATTTAAAATCAGCAAGGTAATACCCACCCATAAAAAAGGAGACCCGAATTTCCCTGATAGTTACCGACCTATTTCAATTATACCTTTTTTGGGAAAAATCATTGAAATTATCGTGAAAGAACGACTAATGCTATTTGTGAATAAACACAACACTCATATTCTACATGAACCTAAATTTGGAATAATCAGAAATAGATCAACCAACCTTGTGCTTGAAGTCATCCAACAAGTGATTAGAAACGTGAAAAATGGAGACCATACGGTTCTAACAATGTGGGATCTGATCAAAGCTTTTGACTGTGTGAACTATTATTTACTACTAGAGAAACTTGAATTTCATGGTATCAGAAATTCTGATACCATATGCTATAAATAACAAGCTATATATAGCTTGTTAAAATAAGATAATGTTGTTGGGTTTACTATTTACTACATAAGGACACATTACAAAACATAAATTTGGATAGGTAATATTGTGAAATTAATTTGTATATAGCTGAAAATTGTTTTATATGAACATATATTGTAAAATAATAGATAAGGCAAAATTGTAAAATTAATTTTGGTTGGTATACCTGTATGGTTGGTACGCCTGGATGGTTTACCTGGATGGGATACCTATATAGCATAAATAGGGTTAGCTCGCAGGGTTGCCACAGCTACCCCTCTTCAGATTAATTTCCCCCGCTTGCTCCCCTCAAGCAAATCTACCCCGCTACAAAAAAGTTAGGAAAGTGTGAATAATCCTCGACGAAAAAATTTGAAATTTCATATCAAATCTACCTCGACATACAAAATAAGGATTTAAGGAAAGGGCAGGTATTTCACATTCAAGTGCACTTTTCTGGATCTCTAGTACTTCCTGGCAGTGCAGTGCAATTGGATTGACATTGACATATATGCTTTCACCTTTCACTTATGTCATGATTGTCAATGTCAATAGGTTTCAATAGATGCCTCTAAATATTTTTCTCGAATAGTGCTTGCTGTTTTTCAGACTACTACAATATTTCCAAAATAGTTCATTTATAACACTGATGAATAAAATACAGTTTGACAAAATCTACCCCGCTTCGACCTGATCTACCCCGCTCGTCTACCCCGATATACAAAAAGGTTGGCAACCCTGGTTCCTAGTTTTAATCTTCATCTTTGGAGATGATCACTTGGTGATCGAAACACGTGTCGAGGTGTTCAAAATAACGATTTGGTGTTGGGAAAAAACACTAGTAATATTCATTACTACACCAAAGGTTCCAAACAGTGCATCATAGGAACATATTAAGGAATAAATTTCAGTAGTTCGGACTTCCATTGTCTAATATATAAAAATGATTTGAAATCTCCGAAACAACTAAAAGAGAAGAATTAAAAATGAATAGCTGAAAATAACATTTTTGCTTAATATATTTGTTATATTCAGCTATTCATTTTTAATTCTTCTTTTTTAGTTGTTTCACGGATTTCAAATCATTTTTATATATCAGACAATAGAAGTCCGAATACTGAAATTCATCATGAAACATTGTCAATCACCTTCAAACAAATTAAGGAATAGTTTTCTTTCATTTGCTCGAAAAAATTATTTGAAGTGCATTCAAAATGTCTTCATGTTGTATCTATCCTGCAGCGAAAGAAAGGCCTAACGTATTGCGTATTCCGCGATAAATCACCGTGGATGAGTTTATCTAAAAAAGTGTAAATGCGCTTTGAAATTATAATAAATCATAATCTATGAAATTCCACGTGTATTTTTTTTATTTTTATCATTTCAGTTCGACACCAGGTAAATTTCCCGAGGTCATCGATCCAAATCAGTCGTTGCGGGATCATATATCATCATCGGTAATTCAAAAGACCAAAGATAAAGAATATATGGAAATGTGTAATGTTCAGCAGCCACACATGAAGCAGTCTTTCGACCACCTCAACGGTCAACCATCATATCCTGAATCCAACGTTCATCCTCACATACCATCGCATGCTCAGTACATTCCCAAAGAAGCTCAGGTAAAAAATGTCGTTGATAAGAATTAAAATAATTTTCAATCGTTCCGTCTATGGTTATAATAGTTTATAGTACCAATCTCGTTACTCAAGCATAGTTTCATTAATTTCGATTTAGCCTATAGGTAAATAAATACTCATCTTTAGAAAATTTTTGGAACATGATAATTGAAACCCTTTTAGTAGATATTGTTGAGCTAGTTTCTCGTCGTCCCAACTATTATCATTCCAGATGTTGATACACTAATCCTATAACATTCCGATCTGTTTGGATCTGCATCAGTGGCGGCTCGTGGTATTTGAAAATGGTGAGGCACAGTTAAAATTTTTTTTTAGCAAAGTTAGAATTTAAAGTTAGTCTAGTGGTCACTCTACTTCGTCAGTTGTGTAATACCATTTGTAAAAAAAATTATAACATTAAATTNTCCATTTTGACGTGATTTTAGGTTAGAAAATAGGTAGATATATCCATTATTAAACCGATGAATAAACGAGCAAGCAACGCGGCAAAAATTCTAGTAAATATTCAGAGGAAATTCATTATCGATCTTGCATTCCACTGACGCCGTGCCTGCCGTACCGGATTATAATTCTCGTGAAAATATTCCGGGAAAAAACTTTCCGCAATACCTATCACCCGCCAAAGCGATATCAAACTACACATACTACATTTTTCAGCAGAAACAAAAAACTACTTCATATACGAATAACATGTATGAAGGGAAAACAAAAAGAGACACCGACACAACGTATTCGGTGTTATTCAATTAAAAACTTTCAGCATTTCAAATATGGTCTTCTTTATGAAAGATGAATGTTCTTAAACTGATCAATGTGTATACATCGTGAATAGACTCGGTTGGAGGAAAAAAAATCCACACGCGACCCAACTATCGAGTCTGTTGGAAGCCAAAAAAACTTTAGTATATTGCCAATTATTTTCGTAAAAGAGAACCAACACGGAAAGGCGTTATAATGATACCACGATTCAGTTCCTTCAGCCATTGTATTGGAACGAGCTCAAGGAAAATAGAAAATCGATCGGCAGACTCACAGAATGTTTGATACTACAGGCAAGTAGATAAAAAACATAAAAAAACGGAGATGTATTGGGAGAGTTGTCAAAAAACAAACAATCCTTCACTGAAAGTGCAACGAACGAAATTAAATCCTTGGATGATAATCAACACGTACTGAATTACTGTTATAACCTTTTTTTATTTTATTTTTTTTCTATCTTCACGGCCCAAAATTTCCCAACTTTTTCCCAAATCGAAAAAGCAGGGCTCTCCCACCTCCCCGATGTCGACGGCCATGCTTGGGTTACATTATTGCAATTGTCGAAGGGATCTCTATTTTTTGATAATGGAACTTTCTATAGGTGGAATACATTTCTAAATTGGTTAAGTGGTTTGTGATACATTAGGTTAATGTAGTTCACAACTATTTACCACTAACCATTTTCATATTCACTATTCTTGTTTAGCTGTCAGTTTTGATAATCAACTCTAGTGAACGTACTCTTTATTAATGGATTTGGATCGGATTTCAGAAGAAATATGTCGAGAGTAATACCTTAGGGCATTTAGCAATAACACATTTGTTACAATAGAACTAAAGAATCCTAATTGTTTTTTCTAGTTGAGAGGGCTTGCACCTTGGCATGAGTCTCAAATAACTCATATGTTTTTTTCATAACTAAACTAATAATCATGTCATGATATTTGACCTATTGCATGACATGCCGATCTACGTACATCCTTTAGATACTGGTGTGATTTTCTCTGTTGTTTTTTTGTATTGAGAAAATTACTTGATATGTTCAGACCATTTAGAATTGTCATTTCTTATTAATTTTCTCATAATTATATCATTCATTCATCTCTTGTGTTGCAGTGGTTACTACCAACACACATAAATTTGCCAATCGGTTTCATACCAACTTTAGCGTTAATTCCCCCATTCCTTTGCTATTTCAGAAAACTATACAAATAACAACAAATCATTGTTCGTACCTAAAAAGTTTTTGCCGTTCAGATTATGCAGTTCTTTTCAACCTGTTGCAGTAAAATAATAATAATTTCAAATTGCATAATACTGAATTCGACATGTTCAAAGGTCTTATTAACCCTTGAAGTATAGAAAACTAAAGTTTTAAGAATCTTTTTTCATGGTAATTTTGTGAAACGTATCCATTTATCAAGGATGTAAGCATTTTCTGCTCACATCCTTGTTGGATTTTAGATAACATAAGAATAAATAATTTCAATTCAAAAAATGATTTTTGACAATTATTTAGTATCGTCAGGGACGTCCGTGTTTTCCCTGAATAATTTCAAAATGAAAAGTTGATACTTCACTGCTTTTTCTTATAGAAAATATTTTTGAAATCTTTGTTTTTCTATCTGAGCAAATCTGGAATCTGGTCTTCTGATTTATTCACGAGAATGATTTTTAAATTTCAAAATTATAAAATTAATCTAAATACTGTTTAAATTGAAAGGGCATATTTTTAGGAGAGTTTAGCTTTTGGAATTGAAATTTTTAGGCTTGCTACTCGTCCATCTGTACACAAAAAATGTGGAATCTTCAAAAACGTGGAAAATTCCCACATCATTTTGTGTACAGATGGAGAAGTGAAAAATAAAAACCTTTCTTTCCCAATAATCTAAATACATTTTGCATTGCTACCACAAAATTACCCTGGCCGCGAAGCACAAAAAATAAATCAAATCAGCAAATATGAACTCACGTACTCTCTGGAAATTTCCGGGACTGTTTCAAACAGTTTACAAGAAACTATGCAAATTCAAAGTCATTATTCATGAAAAGAACCGTATTTTTTAAAACTGTTGCAGTTTACAAAACAAAATAATCTGCTTCCTGCTAATATTTTAAATCTTCTATAATACCTAATTTCATAACAACATGTAAATTGAAATAAATATTTTTTTATGGGAAAACGTATTTAACCAAAGGAAAAACAAGAAACTAAATTGATAAAAAAAAGAAGGGATTGCAAAAATAATTTTCACATTAAGAAAAAGCACTGACTTTTCAATGCGCCGGGCAGGAATAAAATAATATCTACAGTAGAAAATGCATTTTGATGCATAGAAGATGTGCACTACGTTTTACAGAAGTATCTAGAGTCATCAACTTGATTGTTTATCCAAATATACTTTCTGTATGTATATTGAATATCTTGAAAAAAATATAATACTTTCAGGTGCATCCTGCATATAAATCAGAATCTCAATATTTTCATAAAGACACTCAATACCAACAACTTCCGCATCAGATGCAAAAATATAATATGCCGGCTCAAGTCCGAAAATTTCCCCAAGGAAATGATTTTTTATCGAAGTTGCGTCGCATCCATCCAACCATGGCTCGGTCGATAATGAGTGATCACCATCTGCAAGAATCGCAGACACCATATCAACCAATGGATCAAACCCGAATATATTCCCCTCAGCATCAGAGATACATGAACTACCCATCGATGCCAAATAACCCCTATCCTCCGGGGTATATGTCTTCTCAGTCTTACCCGAACTATCCAGCTAGTTGTAGTTATAACAGATCTTCGCAGATGGGCCAAAGGTTTTCGTCCATCAATTCCCAAGAAAGAAGTATATCACCCAGAAGAAGTTACACCGAAAGTATGGCAATGAATATGAACTATGGGGCAATGCCATCCCAAAAAGTGTCCCCCAATTACTCCCATTATGCTGCTCCTGAGTATGCACAACACTACCAGCACCGTAGAGCCCCTATAGGACAGGATTATTATCAACAGCAGTGCAGGTAATCAATTATTATTATTACGATTCAGTGATACAACAACTTCATGTAAGATAGAAACTATTTAAATTAAAATAAAACTAAGTTTTGAGCCACCAGTGATGAAAATAAATACAATTAGAAAGGTCGAAAATTAGAAGGAAATAACTTTTCTCATTCAGTTTGTACAGAGTGGCTCAAATTGGACACTTAGAAGGGAAACTCCTGGTTTCAAACTAGATGAATGCCAACTGATGGCTGTATCTGAAGGTTGAATTTTATGGCAAACTTGATGGTGAAAACTTTTATAATGAGACATCCTGTGCATTTTTGCATATTTCAATAGAGCTTAAAATGACTTTTTCAAAAATGTAGTATGCTAGATATTTTGCTAGAGTCATCTCTGAAATACAAAGCTTTTAGATTCTTTCATGTAAGTAGGTAGACTTTGAAACACATACTTTGATCAAGTAGGCTTTGGACGATGCGGCGATGAAACAAAATGCAAATCTTTACTGGTAGCTGTCAAATTTTGATTCAAGCAGTAAAGGTGCTCTTCAATTAGTGGTTTTTGTTCAATTTCCAAACACATTCGCAATCAAGTATGAGAATTATTATCAGTACTCGCTTGGCTTATTAAGGAGAAGATTTTATTCAGTGTTTCACCCATTTATCATTCATCCAAATTATGAAAGAACCCATTTAAAAACTGAAATAAACATTTATTGTAAAGAAACGGGGAAATACTTCAGGAATAACTTACATTGTACTGCCACCCAGCAGGTGCAGTACAGGATCAAAGAAAAGGAGATGTGCTGCATTGCTGGAACCTTTTCTGACGATCAATACTCAATACTCTTTGATGTTGATTATCTCGACCTTCCTCAATATTTATGAAAATTTATGCGGTGGCATTGCAACTTTGATCCGGTCACTGTACTAAAGTAAAATGCTCAGTATTGCAATCTGTGCAAAGGTTGCGTATTTGGAGATTGTTTTATAATTCTATATCCTGTGATCCTATCAATTTTTATGTCTATGAACTTGGGATATTAAAAGATGCAATTCCAAATACTGAGTGTTTTCGTTTGAGAATATTGAAGTTGAGGTTGGAACATCTTTCAATTCATGTATTCGCTTGAATGAATTTGAATTATTTCATGATTATTTTTCATGTTTGACACAATGTTTTATACAAACCGGGGAAAATGCAGAAGCACCAAGCAAATTGTATCACAAGAGATATCCCCAGAGAAGACAACATTTTAGATACATTTTCGCAAAATTGCGACACAAACTAATTGATAGTTGTCAATTAGAAAAGAAAAGGCCAAAATTATATGGATCAAACGGGGATAAGGAGTTGGAAGAATTAGTCGTTTCAGGAGCTGTTGAAAAGAATCCCAAAACGTCAACGAGAAATTTGAAAATATCAATAGGCCTACCAAGAACTATAACCTTAGGATGATTTTGAAAAAACACAAATTCAATCCATACAGAACCAGAAGAGTTCATCAACTCAGACCAGGTTTCTGGAGAGTTGTAACCAAATGCGTGATTTTTCGTTAAATTGTATTAGGACAGACGAAGTTTATGTGAGCAGTGCCAGAATTTTCAACCGCTACAATTCTTATACTTTAACACAACAAAATCCTCATTCTATTGTGGAGCAGAGAATTCAAGGAAGATTTGGATTTATTGTGTGGGCAGGTGTTTTCAGGGGTAGAATTATCTGCCTGTTCATTTATAATTTCAACCTCTATTGAAATATGCAGGAATATATAGGGAGTCTCGTTGAAAAAAAAATGTTTACCATCAATAACTATTGATATCTCATTTGAAAAAAAAAATTTTGCACCATTGAATTCTATGTAAAAAAGTGTTTTTATAGAATTTTTGACAGGAAAAATGTTACAGCCAATTTTTAAAAATGCACATTTTCGAAAAACATGCTGTATTGATGATAGATATCGATATTCGGTTATCACCATTGAGTGTGTCATAAAATTTTACCCTAAGACACATCCATCAGTTTTCATCTATCTAGTTTGAAAATGGGAGTTTCCCTTCAACAGTTTTCAATTTGGCCTACTCTTCACACCTATCATTCGTAATACATACAAGTTTCACAAAAATATCAAAATTCATACCAAACGAAAATTCCTATGGCAATCTAACACGCAGTTCAAAAGATTAGGCATTTGAAATATGATTTTTTATGAACGAGGGATCCATCCCTACCAACGTCCGTGAATAATTCATTTGCTCTTCTTCAAACTGACGGAATTGAAATAAACAAAACTATTTCTGAACTGAAAAATTGAAATTCCACTGGTAATGATGAAATTAACTCTGAAATTCTGAAGTGCATCTCACCACTGGAATATATATTGGATTTATGAATTGAAACGGAAACTTGGGTATCATTTTCAAACAGTCACTCTTCAAGAAAAGGTGATGATACTTTAATAACAAATTATAGACCAATTTCACTCATCACCCACCTGTCCAAAATATTCGAAAAGACAAAAAAAAATATTTCAATTTATGTTTGATATCTGAAAATCAATATGGTTTCAAGGAGAATGTATGGATTCAAAATGCGATATTGGCTCTGACACATAAAGTATATTCCGCCCTGAATGAGAATAAATCATGTCCGTGTGTTTTCATCGGCCCGTTCAAAGCATATGAGAAAATTTTTATGAGTTATTTAAAAGTTACTTCTCTCACAGAACACATACAGTAAAAATTAAAGACGTTAAAATAGTTGTTGGAAAATTTTTGTTAATGGAATTTCTTCAGGGAAGAATAAAGGTGAGATCTTGGATCTCGATCAAATCTAAAACAAAAGTGAAGAACTTAGATGTCGTTTTATGCTCACATCTTGAATGGAATTCTCATATAGATTATTCATGCAATAAGCTGCGCTTCGTTCTTCATGAATGAAAATTTTTAAGAACCACTCAACTTGAAACTCTTTATCACACTTTGGTTGAAAGTCACTAACGCTGTGGAATTACATGCTGGGGAGGAGCCTTTCACGCTCATGTTCGTCTGTTGGAAGTGTTCTGAAATATATTTTGAAAATTGGTTTCATCCAAGCCCGCACGCTTCTCTACCAAAGTATTGTTCTCTGAGACTCATGATTTTGAGATTCGCCAGCACTTTTATCATAACACTGCAATAACATGTTATAACAATTAATTTCTACAGTACCAGAAAGAAACAACCATACTGTATATTCAAGTCCTTTCATTCAGGACATACGAAAAGTAATGATTTATATCAAGAATATCTACAAATGTATAATGCTAAATATTTCGTATAACAACATTTTCTCATTGCAGACCATCTCAATATCTACCACACCAAATGGCTCCTCAAGACATTTCAGAAAATAGAGTAACAGTATCCGACAGTATAAAGCAATATATAGAAAACTGGGCAGACGAAGATACGGCGTCTGAGTTGGAAAGCAATAGGCTCTGCAAAGATGGTATGAGAGTAAGAGATGACCCGTCGACAGGGACTGTATTTATGATAAGTCAATCCGAATTGCAATACTTCGAAAATGGAGTTCCTATTGTTACTTCCGAGAGCACAATACCTATGGTAAGACATTGAAATTTGCTCATGAAATAATATTTAATTTTGATATATTACTTTCTTTAAGGTTACTCCTGAGAACTGTCAGTATATTATAAAAAGTGGAGTTTCAATAGATAATACCTCTGGAACGGTCAGATTAGTTGATAACAAGAATGACCATATCATTGACCTTGGAGACAATAATGAAGAACGTGTTGTTAACCTCCATATAATGGATCCCCTAAAACAAGACTGCTTGCTTGCTAACAAACCAAATGAATCAAACCAAAGACAAACAACTAACGAACATTTGTATGAAAATATGACAGGAAAACCAAGAGTCGTAATTCACCAAAATACTGTAATACAGTCAGGTTACCAAAACGTATCTACGGATAATTCATTTGGGAATATAACTAATGAACAAGTTAAAGTGGGTAATAGTTTACCAATCATTACTGATACCATTGAAGAAGAATTGAACCAAAGTATCAAAGAATATAAAAAAATAACTGTGGACAAAAATTGTTCACCCATAACTTTGGACCAACTTGAAGAATACAAGGAATCTTCCCTTCAGTCATCAGTAATATGTTCCAATAAAAATGTGGAAGACGAGTTTGTGAAAGAAATTCATAACATCCAGGAATGTAACACTGAACCATCTACGAAGGATGTACCATTTTTTGATGAGTTTTCCGTCAGCATCAACTCAAAGGTTGAAGGTGAAAATCGTATTACAATAAAATCTGACAGAAGTAAATTGGTAAACCCTAAAGAGGAACTTACAGTACAACCACATATTTCAGTTCCAGAGACATCTATCAACACCGAGTATTCTGATGAACTTTCCCAAATTGAAAAACAAAACGATAATGATGAGTTATTAAACTCTGATAATATCTGCTCTTTTACCGATGGAAGTAGGGATATAATTTGTGAAGAAAAGAGATCTGCTGAAAAATGCAGTGCTTCAGTTTGTGAAGAACAGAGGGAACCAGTTAACAGTGACGATTCATCCTTATCTGTTCTTGGAAAAGAAGCTGTTATTGATGAAATTATGGAAGTTGAAGTCAAAACATTCACTGAAGTTGGAGAATTGACAGTAAAGAATACTGATATAAAAAACATCCTTCCTGTTAGCAATGAGAATCCTGATAAAAGTGAAAATAATGTACTGAATGGCAATAAAGAGGGTAAAATATTCACAAAACAATTTGATACAGTTATTGAAAAGTCAAAAAATAAAAGGTCCAAAAGAATTTTCTCAGTGGATGATATCATCAATAACATTGGCAAAAATTTAAAGTCAAATTCTGAAAAAGATGTCCTTGAAAGAAGACATAGTCTGCATTCCACAAAAGAATTTTTGGATAGAGAAATTGCTAATACATTATTTGTACCAGAGTTTGAGAAAAAGCATACATTGATTGAAATTGGAAAGCAAAATTTATCAGAACAATTACCAAAAGTTGAAATGAATGGATATAAATTGAAGGAAACTGAGCCAGCTTTTTTGGAGAAAATGGCCACTGAGAAAAGTAGTGAAGAAGTTGATTTAAAATACGAATTTGTAGTACCCGACAAAACCAAACCAGATGTTGATGAAAAAAAAACTTGCGGCGATTTAGTTAGTGAAGATGGAATTGAAGGGAAAAAATACTTTGCAAACGATGAGAACAGAAAGAGCAATTCTCAAAATTGTGATGAATTGCTCAGAATTGAAGAAGTTGACACCAGCCATAAAGAAATTTTGGTGAATACCAGTAAAACCATCGGACCAAATTCAAATATATTTGAAAGTTTCAATGAACTGAAGAATAGTCAATTTTTGATGAAAAAATACATTGATACAAATGAAAACAAGGTATTGGAAACCTCTTCAAATACAGTGGAAACTTCTTCACAAACGTGTTTTCAAGATGATCGAGACATAATTATTGACGATTCCATTAACCAAACCGTAGATTCTATTCAGGAAGCTAGTGTTCAGCTAATAGAACAGAAAAAAGTCAATTCTGGATCAGATCAAAGTGAAATTCAATATCGAAGTGTTATAAAAGTAGAAGAATCTTGTGTACTCTTGCAAATAGCGGGAGAATTGGTTGAAGTTAATGTCAACATTGTAAATGGTAAAAATGTTATAACAGTGGTTCCATTATCTGATACTGCTATTTTGGATTTGAATGAGAACTATGAAACTGTAATCAATCCTGAAACAATTGACCCTTTACACATTGATGATATAATAATGGAAAGTAATGATGGTTTGACTGAAACTGTAGAATATCAGACAGATAAGCCAGAAATTGTTGAAACTACTAGCGAAATCATAATTGGAATGGATTTAAGTTTGGAAGAAGAAATACAGTTAGACTTAGCCCAACCCCCTATGATGTGCACCAAAGCTTCGAAGAAGGCATATGACAGTGATTTGCAAATTCCTTCCATTACAACTAGTGAAGACATTCATGACAACAATAAACTTGAAGTATTCCTCAACAATGATAAAGTCAGCTCTAGTAAAGAACATGTGAACAGAAATAAGAAACATGAAAGGCTTATTGATTCTTCCAAAAAACAAAAATACCAACGTTCAATAGATTCAACTGACAAAAAAATATCTCAAAATAAATCTCGAAATCAGATAAAATCTAAACAACGGAAAACTCCAGAAGAAGATGAATTTGTTCCGTTCAAGGATTTAATTTTAGCTAGAAAATTGAAAAAATTGAAACAACAAAAAAATAAAAATAATGAAGACGGTACAGTGGACTCTACTATGAAAACTGACGATCTTAGCAAGGATACCACTGAATTTACAAAGATGGATATTGTGAAAAAAGGTGAATCTGAAGAGGAAACTCCTAGTGTAAAGGAAGAGATTCGGAAAAGTCCTAAAAAGCTGCTTTCAAGTGAAATTAACTTTAAATTTATAGAAAAAGAAAAATTTTCTGAGATTAATGATCAGAATAAGGTAATGTGTTGTCAAACACTTGATGGAAATAGAGGAGCTATAGAAAAACAGATTGAAAAGGCTGCTTCATGTAAAAAAATATTTGACAATGAAGATAAAACTACAAAAGGGAGTTCCAACTCAAAAGAGGTTACACCAAAAGAAATAACAAATTATAAACTGGAAGATCCTAGACTCAAGAGTAGATCTAATAGTTGCTCTTCGAAATATTCGGATGGTAAAAGGAAGTTGAGCCTGGAGGAGTACAACAAACGTAAACGAAAACTTTCGGGTAGTATGGAGGTAAAAAGCGAAATTGAGGCTGAAATGACACCTAGCGAAAGAAATAACTCTAAAAATGAATCAAGTCTAAATATTTCATCTGTCAGGGTTGTTCCAGAAAAAATACAGTTTCAAAGACCTAAATCTTTAGATGATTTAAACTCACTTAAGGCAAAAGAAAGCAAAAGCATCAAAAGAAAACTGAGTCTGCAGTCTTCTCCTGTTAAGCAAAACTATTTCGATTGGGAAGAAACCCAGTCACCAAAATTTAATTTTTATCAGAATAATCTTGACAAAAAATTTTGTGAATTCAGTGGCCTTATTGGTGATAATGGAAAAGACAAATCAAAAAATGAAACACAAAGAAAATCAAATTGTGAAGCACGTGGGGATGAAATATTGCAAAATTATAAAGAGCAAGTGGACTTTAAACTAAGTTCTTTGAAATTTGAAATTCCTAGGGTTGTGAAACCTGTTGAGCAAGCACCCAGAAATCCATTTTCCAAATCTGAATCATGTAGTTTAATGCAGCGATTCTTGAAAGATGAAAAACTCACTTCTGAAGAAATGGAAAAGATTTGTAAAATTATTTCTTATAAACGTATGGTGCAAAAGTTGAAAAACACCAAATTTTCTGAACCACCAGTCTCTGAAGAAAACCTCACCTATGAAGTTCATAAAGAATCAGGAGATCGAAACACAAAATTACATTTGAAAAAAGTGTCTGAAAGAAAAAGAAAAAATCGCTTTCGAAATCTACACTGTCGGTCAAATTCAGAAGATGAAATAAGTGACAATAAAAAAAGTGATTATTCTGTAGTTCAATCAGATTGTTTGGCAGGTGTTGTGCCTAAACTTATAATTAAAAGAAAAACGGAAATGCCTTTACCGGTTGTGAGATTAGAAAGGCTAGACCTCGGTTTACTTGCTAATAAGAGAGTCAGATATGTTATTTGAATTTTTGTTTCAAAGTGATATAATAGGGACCAAGTAACCAAAGTCTGTTGATAATTTAGTTTCTATGAATAGTTGTTTTCATAAACTTCGTTATATTTAATTTATTTCTTCATTTGTTTATATAGGTATTGAATAAGTAGAAAGATAAATCACTTTTGCATTAAAAGATTGCAATTCAGTAAATAATGGTGAGCTATTAATCAAAACTTCATTTTTATGTAGCAGATAAAATGACTATATATGAATATTTATCTTTCTACTTATCCTCGATCCATAAATCTTTATGAATTGTTATTTTTTCCAAATAATATCCTAACAAAATTGTACGACTTTCATATTTAAAAGTGTTCCTATGATATTAATTGAAAATGAGGTCGACAATACCGCCTTATTTATTGTACATTGTATTCCAATTTATCATTCCATATACATAAAATCAACTGTTGATGTTAAATATTGATTTAATATATATTCAGAGTTTAAACGTTTAGAAACAATGACTGACTTAAAATGAGTGGTGTGTTTTAATATGAATTTCAGTGTGAATTTGTGACTTTTTCAATTTATCACATTAGGTATGTTTGTAAATTTTAATCCAGTATCCAACGAGGCCTATTTCTGAAATATAAAATTATTTATCTGAAATTCATTAGAATTTCAGACAGATCATAACTATTTTGAAATGAAGTGACGGGAGAAAAATATTCTTCTGTTTATTGAAATTCACTGTTATACTTATTTGGTTGATTTCCTAAGAATAAGTTACACCAGCAACATTTTTTAAGTCCAGCAACAAAGATCAGACAATACCTCCCCTAAGGCTTTCTGTGCGTTGAGCCCAAATTGAGCTTAAATTTTCTTTATCATAAACCCAGAGTCGAGGCCTCTTCTGAGATTTGAGTATATACCAAAATGAAATAATATATCTAGAAATCCCGGTTATAGGTTGGAACCCGCTGGAGAGCGAATCAGGTCTTAAGAGTTCGAGTGAGAATAGGTGTGAGCCACTATAAACCCTTGCGGGTTGCGGTGGAGGGTCGAATAAACCCACTCACTTTGGACCTAACCTAACCTTACCTATTGGTTGGAATATCACAAACCTGATGTGAGATCAGAATCGGATTCATAGCGAGAAACCTTTGGAAAAGTATAGCATGGGTTTTGAAAAATATTAAGCCTGTGTTATTAATAACAGTTTGATGAAATATGTTTAAGAATATTCTCCAGTGTTGCAAATGTATAAAAATGAAAAGACGGATTCATGAAATCAACCAAACCTAAAATCAATTCGACTCTGCTTCAGATATGTAACTTATCAAAAACGGCCTTCCTGCAAATATTCTAAGATATATTTTTAGGATAAGCCCACTCCTCTCAAATTATTTCAACAGCTAACAGAAGACAAATTTTCAAAGCCTTGAACCACCAGTCTCTGAAGAAACCCCCACTTATGTAGTTCATAAGGAATCTGGAAACCAAAAAACAAAATTACACTTTCAAAAGCTTATAAAAAAAAAACGAGAAATCGCTTTCAAAATCTGCACTGTCAGTCAAATTCAGAAGATGAAATAAGTGACATCAAAAAAAGTAATTATTCCGAAGTGCAATCAGATTGTTTGGTAGGTGTTGTGCCCAAGTTAAAAATGGAAATGCCTTTACCGGTTGTGAAATTCTGGATATCGTTGGTTGGTATTTCTCTATAATATTATAATATACCACCTCTATCATATAAACTCATGAAAAATTAAAGTTACTTAGTTTTTTCCTACTTTTGAAATTCGATAAACCGACCTTTGTCAAGAAGATCATATACAGTCCCAAACTAGATACGACTAAGTATTGACTTAGTTGTGTTTTTTTCAGGCTGAGTGATTTATAAATTGAGTTGCTCTTTATGAATCCACTTTGCTCGGCCTCGTTTTGGTAAGAAAGCAACATTTTTTTATTAATTGAAATATTTATTGAGTTTGATTTATTTTATTGTGAAATTCATCCAACCAAAAAATCACAATATCCAGGGTTGGAATATGTTTTTGGAAAAAAGCTAGATTTTTTCACTTAGTCGATATGATAAACGTATCTTCATTTGGGTATCTTCAGAATAAAATTGTTTTGGAATTTATTCTCAGCCATTCAATTTTATTGTTACAATTGTACATAATCAGATTGTTGATAGGATGTATCATAAAAAAAACGTGTATTTCTATATTCAATGCATTTCATTTATGATTTCTTTCTTTACCGATTTAATATACCACTTTTGTATGAAAATATCTAAATTTGAGTAAGATGTTTCCTACTTCGTCTGTAACTATTTCTATTAAAATGTTACTTTAGGAGTTTTATATTTAGTACGAATTTGGGAGGTGTGTACCTATTCATAGGGTCGAATAAGTTTAATGTTAAAGTCAAACTTTTCTATCCCAAATATTATGATATGTCAACAAAATATATTCAGAGTTCAATGACAAAACTATGGTGATACTCGATTTATTCAATTTTATAATTCTACTGGTTTTACACCATCGAAACAATTAATATAAGTTATAATATCATCGATAGATTTGATGGAAACAAAATGAAATATAAGTATAGTTACACTTGAAGGATAATATTATCCAAAAATGTACCTTTGTTTTCTGTTCAAAAGTTTTTTTTATGATAAGAATGATATTTTTTGTAGTTACCATAAAGTGCACTGTATTCAAAACTAGACCAGAATGTGCCACATTTGATATTTTGGTCCTCTTAAACGGTAATAATTATTTATAAAAATTGAAATTAGAAATGATACTGCCTGAGTGTAAACGTTTCTAGAAATTGAAAGGGGTATGATTATATCATTTATAATCAGCAAAATCACAATGATATTTTGAGTACATTGATCAACAAACGATTTATGAAAAATAAGCTCCTTTTGATAGAGAATTTGACTACATTTTTTACCCAAAATGATCGAAATATTTTTGACTTATGTCCTAAAAACTGATAACTACAAATTTGTAAAATGGAATGTAGTAATTTAATACTCGGTTTATTCAGATAAAAACTTCATTATTTCATACTTGTAAGTTTTGGATGTGGAAATATAAAACGTGGTATATTCTGTAATATGTTAGATCGTGCAAGTTACATATGTTAGTTGATATGAGTGCCTTAGCACCAATAATGACTGTTATTTTTGTACCAATTTACTGGTAATTTGTATATTTGGCACTGTGTTATAAAAAAAAGTTTAAAAATTATTTGTTTTATTGAAATACATAATTCCAAACCTTG